TCTCTTAGGTTTCTACTGTCCCCATTCCTTTGTGCATGATGTAGCCTCCTGGTCTTAGTATTTATAGGTATGTTCACATCTGTTTCTTTTGTCTTTTGCTTGTATCTATGTTACAAAGTTTTGCTTTATCTATTTTTCTCCTGATTTTTATTGCTGCCTAAGGTTTTTCTTTTCCCTCTTTTCTTTTTCTCTTCTGTAGAAGAAAATGCTCTTACATGCCTCACCTTACATCTTCCTGCCTTAATTTTAACTTAAATTTAGAAGACCTCTCCCCTTTGTCACTTCATACAACCACTTCTGAAAATCCTCAGTATGTGTCAGAAGCCACTCACTTCACCAGAATTTAGGTGCTTTTCCTGGTATCCACCTTTAGGGGTGACCTTAAAAATTAGAGCAGAAAAGTGTAGTCAGAGATTAGGTTGTGTGGGCTTTCACAATATACAGCAAATAAATATCTTCAAGCTTATCTGATCCTTATCACACTTACACTTGCTGAAGTAAAACACTCTGATAGGTAGGCTTCTCTCTTTCTCCAACCTTCAGACTGAAAATATAATACTTTGTTATTTTTTTCTTTTTTGAATGCTGCAAAAACTGTTGAATTTCCCAGAGACTGAAAAAATGCACCTGTTTGTGTTTCATTTAGCAAATATTTATTTAAAAGAATGAATGCAGCAACAGAACTCTGTCAAGTGAGTAATGAACTAAACTTGTACCTGACTGCACCTCTGCATAGGTCATCCGGAAAGGCTGGCTCACCATCAACAACATTGGCATCATGAAAGGAGGATCCAAGGAATACTGGTTTGTCCTGACTGCAGAGAGCTTGTCCTGGTATAAAGATGATGAGGTAAGGAATGAAGAACATTTTTCTGTTGGGGAAAACCCCAGTATTCATACAGTATTCTGGTATCAACTTGAAATATTTAATTAGTTTGTGTAAACCTGAACTGAGAGATTGTTTTAAGATTTTAGCTGTGTTCTTTAAATTTCTGGTTTGATTCATGGAGAATGCTGACTGTCTAAGACTTCTGTTGAAATGCTGATAACAAACACAGGGTGTGGTATGGGGTATTTTTTGTTGGTTTTTTTTCTTCTCTTCCTGTGATTTCCACACATTGCTTTAAAAAAGAAAAAAGGAGAAAGTCCCAGGCTGTTCTGAAATACTCTGCTTATTGTCCTATCTTTTCTTGGGTTATCTTGTACATCTACTGCAAGCTGATCATAAATTATCTGGGTAAATTTACTTCTGAAAGTAACTACAGCAATTGATTTAATGAAAACAGCTGCTCTCCGGTCTTATGTTCTGAGAGGATGAAAAGCCCATCTGCAGAATTCTCTAGCTGGTTGGTATGGATTTTCAAAATTGACAAAAATTGCACCTTTTTGGGTGGCCAGTAAATCTGAGGTGAGTAATATGGAAATAATGAAAAAGACATCCACATTGCTCACTTTAAATGTATTGTTAGGCACCTTGTCTGATCTGTTTAATGATTTTTTCAACAGTGTGTATAGTGATACGTTTTATCCAAGACTCCAGCAGTATTTTGAAGGTTAAAACAGGATTATGTGTGCCATCAGATTTATGGTAAAGCCTTTGCGAATTTTTGTAAGGTTTGTGTTGTTTTTTTGTAGAAAAATAGGGCTACATTAAAAAAAAAAAAGTATTACTTCCTATTTGGGTCCCCCCCCCCCCAAATTAAATTATTTTAGTAAGAAATTATTGATTTTTAGGGTGAACCAGTTCAATGGATAGAAGAAGCACAGGTAAAGAGAAAGCTTTAAAACTCTAAAGAATCACTCAATCTTTTAATCTTATTCTAAGTAATAATCAAAACACTGGTTGATCCCAACAAAACAGGTTGATGGGGACTGTGCAAATTCATATTCTCTTGAAATTACCGTGGTGTTTTACTGCAGTGGATTCTCTGGAAGCCCTGGGGAGAGGGCCTGAAGTGCATAAGGCAGAGCTTTCCCGAGTCCTGCAAATCCAGGATGTGGAACTCCTTCAGTAATGCTGCTGAAGGTGCAACTGTGCTGCTCAGAAATTGGTTTTTTCCCCCCAGTCCATAGCTATTTCAGGATAGATTTTAAGGCAGAGGCACAAATTAGATTAATTGAGGATTTTGCCCCTTGCCCTTTTATTTAAGTTTTAAAGGGATTCAAATTTAGTGTAACAGAAAAAACAGTGCATGTCAGGCAGAGGGGAGGAGCCAAGGGACAGATGTCAAGGGCGAAAATTTTACTCTCAGATTGCTGAAATAGAATTTGAAAAATATGCAGAAGTGACTTTATGAATTTGAAAATTTGAAGTTTTTGTTTTCTGTGATCTGCCTTGAAGTTACTAGAACCAGTTTTCTTAGGTAAGATACAGGCTTAACTAAAACAAGCAATGTGGCAAAACTTACACACCTGCTGTTTTATCTCAAGCAGCTGGAGGTGCATCCAAGATGAGCTGTGGCAATATTTTTAGGTAGTTTTGTTATTTTTTTTTTAAGTCTGATTTTTGCTTAAGGAGAAATATAAAAATTCCTGAAAATCCTAATGGTACATCTTGTGCTGTGCAACTTTAAAAATAAATAGTTTTGACAATCTGCTGGGGAGAGTCACCTGGAAAGCTCATGAAAGTACTCAGAAGGAAATGCCCACTGTGTGATTTCCATATGCATATTTTAAGATGATGTCTCTTAATGGCCAAACAGTTAAGTTTTGAAGGTCATGAAAATGTCAGTAGTTAATTCAGGCCATGGGAGATCATTCAGGAGTTTCTTAGAGTGGTAAGAAGATAATTGCAAAGGATAATGGTAGAGTACTATTCCATGCTCTGCTGGTGAAAGAAGTTGCTCCTTAAGTACAGATTAGCTGTATAATTTGATTATTTTGTTCTGTAAAAGAGTTTATTAAGTTATGCTTTTTGGTGGGTTTTTGGTTGGTTGGTTGGTTTTGGGTTCTTTTGGGTTTTTTTTGTTGTTTGTTTGTTTTTAATTGTTGGGCGCTTTTTTTTTTTTTGTAGTGGACCTTCTCAGTGAGACCAAAAAATCAGTAAGACTCCTCAGCTGCTGGCTGGAGTGGCTGTGTGGGGGTGTTTCCCCCCCTGAGATGTGCAGTCTGGTGATGTGAGAAGTGATCCCTGTGTTTGTGTGTCTGGCTGTGCCCTGCGAGGTCGTGGGGAGTTCAGAGCCCCCAGCCCCTGCTCGAGCTGCTCGGGAGCTTTTCCCTGGCAGCTGGGGAAGGTGCAGGGTCAGCTCTCACCTGGCTTCCCTTGCCACGCTGAGGAGCCTGTGCCCTCTGTGCCAGTAGCCAGTGCTGCAGCAGCTGTGTACCAGAGAGCTCTGACAATGTGCTTTGCAAAGCTCCAGTGCCTGCTGGGGCCTCCAGGGCTGTGTACCCCCTCTAGTGTAAGCTGAGCCTGTTTTCTAGTCTGGAATTTGCTCGGAGATCAAAATCACTAGTGGTGGCTTGCTAGTACTGTTAGAAGGATGTAAATGCCTTTGTGAGGTGCAGCTTTATAAGTGATAAATCCACAGTACAACGTATTTAGAAGCAAGTTACTATGGCAAAAGATTTCAGATTTTCCTGTATGATATCAGTATTAGAAAAGAAACAATTTTCTTCACATGGTTTTGTCTGTCAAACATACACTAGGATTTTATTCCTGATGAAAGGGATTCAGTGCTTAAGAATGGGTTTTTAGACTTGAAGTTCTGGAAATGGCCAGGTTGATGTTTGAACAGTGTTCTTAGAGCAGTTACAGTATCAGTTCTGGGAGAACTAACATGGATTAGTTTCTGATCCTGCATGCAGTTGCTTCTGTTTGTAACTTTGCTGTGTGACCAGTGTCATGACTTTGTGCTTTTCTACTTAAAAACCAAGCAAGGAAAGTGCTGTGTACTGGCTTTAAGGCTGCTGTAAACAAGTGCAAGATCAGCACACCCCGTGACCTCACAAATACAGATTTATTTCATAGAGTATTCCATGTAATCCTAGCTGAAGCATTATAAGGCATACCTACACACACAAATTATTAAATCTAAGCGTTTCAGCTCTTAGTTTTTACTATATTATTAGTAGCATTAAGTAAGGTTCATTTGAGAGTCAACCTGCAAATCTGAAGTTTGTGAATTAGCCACTTCTGCATTAGGATGAAATGGATTTTTGGGAATGTGGAATGTCATTCTATCTTGTGAATAAAAAAACCTCTTTACTGTAAAGATATGGATACCATTTGTAAAGTGGTGTAGCTTGTTATGGTGCATGGTCATAGAATGTGATTTTATTCTTCGTTCTAAAGCATCCAGAGATTTCACTGGCATTATTGCTGTGCTAAGGATGCCAAGCTGGGCTCTAGGATTAGAATTTATAAAAATGTGAAATTTACATTGATGGAGAAAAATCTCCTGTAGTCTTATTTCCAAAGAAAATATTTCCATTCTGTTTCAATAGTAAATGATACTATTGTCAACACCAGTGATGGACGCAGTTTGTATTATAATTTCACAGTTTGTTCCCAGTTGCAAAATGATGTGAGATTTGAGAGCGAACTTACAAAAATGAGGGAGGAGGTGGAAGAATGGAAAGGGGAGAAGCTCCCTCTAAGGTCTGACATTGTGTATGTTTACAGAATGAACTTGCCACACAATAAGCTGCTCTTGGCTGCTGTGGCGAGCAGGAATGTCGGGGGGTTTAATACAGCAAGAATGGAGCGATGCCTGGGAAGCAAACGGGAGGACAGAACACACGGCTGTGCCGCAGGGCTGCGGATAAATCCAACTTACTGTTAGTGAGCTTGTGAGAACAACTAGGAAAAGAGTACTATAGGAAGCACAGTAACAATTTCAGCAGTGGGTTTTATTGTACTTGACAGGCAGTGCTGCTTTGACTCTGGGCTTGGTGACTGACTGGCCGTCTGAGGTCCAGAGCGACTCTTGGCTGGAGCTGGTGCTGCAGATGCTCTGGGCTGTCAGAGCGGGGTCCCACTGGCGGCTGTCCCTCAGGCTGGGTTGTCATGCGACTGCCTGTCTGTGCCTGCTGTACAGGTGAGAGGATGTTCTGCACAGCAAGTGTAGACAGGCAGACACATGACAACTCCGTCCAGCCAGTCCCTTGGAGCCATCGCCGCTGCTGTGCAACACTTTGTGCCAGTCCACTTTAGGGGGTGTTTGTTGGGGGGAACACACATAACAGAATTAAACTTTAAAACATTGGCAGCTGCAGAACAAGAACAGAACTTGATTTTATTCAGAAAAGAAGCTTGGTACATGAGTTGTCATTGTGCTGACACATATCAGGGATGCAGTTTCGACAGACTGCTCACACTGAACGTTTGGAAAAGCAAAAAGAACTGAAGTCGTGGTTTATTTTATATGCAATTTGTACAGAGTTTTGCCTGCACACTGTACTCACACATAGTAATTTAACCAGATGTTTTTACTCTTCATGGAAGCACAGAAATACTGAAGTTCAAGATAAAGGATATGTTTATACAGTGCATATTTTCTAGGAGCAGATAAGTACAATAATCTGGGATGTTAAAAATAAAAATCCTTCTGTATAAATGGAGGCTGCAACTTGCACATTAACCCGATTATAGGGAAAGTGCTGGAAAGAAAACTGCTTGCATTGTGGATCGATTTTGCTAATATGTGATAGCTGTACATGTATTATATTCCTTTTAGTATTTTGGTCTGCATGTTATTTAAATTTTGCTTTGTCTCAAAATCTGTACTTTCTGACAAGGTATATTGACCTCATAAAACTTCGGTAAGTTTTTTCAGTCAAATATGGACTATACTAGAGATCAAAAGCATGTAAATAGCATCATTTCACATCACAAGATGTGCTGCTTTGCTGAATTTTCTCTATACACTGTCTCTACACACAGTGACTGTAATCCAACTTTGCAGTGACATTTGACACAGTTCTGGGGTATTGTTTCAGAAGGTACAAAACCCGTTGGAACCTTAAAGGGGGAAAAGAATAATTGTATTAATTTTCTCTACAGATTAAATGTTTCTGGTTTGTAATGGTGTTCTTGAATCCCTGTTGCTCGCTAGTGCCACCATAGGTAAGCAACAAAGTTGTGCTTTCAAACCCTTCTCAAACATACCCTATTCAGAATAGCAGCCAAACAATTTTAAGTCCAGCCTGAAAACTGATAATAAATTACCAGAGATTAAAGGTGGAGATAGTGCTGAGGTTTTATATTAAACTAATAATACATCAATATGTAATTATTCAGGTGTTCTTTCTCTAATAATTTTGCTGTAAAGAATAATAGGCATTCAAGTTAATATACAAATTGACTATACACGTTAAGTTTATCAATTATATGAATAACATTTTCCTTGAACGTAACAAGGTGGAATAAGATCTCCTAAATAAATGAATCAACCACAAAAAATGGCTAATTAATTCAGAGATGAAAAATTAATTCCAATGCATTAAATGTTTTGTCTTTATAAAATGCTTACTTAAATTTTTATAGCTAAAAGTAAAATTTTAAGTGTATGTTTTAACTTTCCATTTCTTGCTGCCTGCTTTACCATTTTGAAGAAAAACAGGAGTGGAAAATTATAATATTTTTAAAATAGATATAATACACTGATTGTTTCATAGATTTAATCAGATTTAACTCCTGCGTTTAGTTGCTAAAGAAATGAAAAATCTTTAGTCTGGAAGAAAATTAAGTCTGACTTTCTGTGTTATGGATCCTTCTTGAAATAACAAAGAATTGTACAGTCAAAGTTGTTGGCAACCTGTAGTACAGAATACTGGAATAGCAGAAGTATGGATTTTCTAGAATAGATTTTCGGTTAACAACTGTCAGGAGGTTGTGCTGGGAGGAAAATCGTAAGTGGAAACTTTGTGCTGTCTTTCTAAAAACTGTACACAAGGAGAATTCATCAAAGAATCAGCAAAAAGCTTTACATCTTAACAGAGGCAAGTTTGTTTTCCCTTCAGTTAATTCACTGGGTGCTGCTAGACATGACTAGATTAATATCTCCACTTGATTTTCATTTAAAAACTGAAATTCCTTGAAACTGTAGTTAACTTGCTTAAAGGGCTTAACATTTTTGTGTGCTATGTCTGGTTGACACACTGAGTTAGTAAAGGACTTGAGAATATTTTAGAATACTCATAATAAAAAAAAAAATCTCATAATCGCCTATATTATATTTACGGAAATCTATGTTAAGGATCTGACTTTAAATATTGGTACCTTGGAAACTGAATTGAGATATGTATTCCCTCCAATTGTGAGCAGGACTCTTTATTTAAGGGAAGGCTGTTATTTTTAGATACTGCTTTGCAATGCTGTGTAAAATGCAGTACAGAACTACAGTAGAATAATTCAGGAAAGTTTCATTCTTAACTCTGGCATTTCCTGTCTTTTTGTAGGTTTAATCCTGACCCTTAATAGTATTTCAATTAAGATTTTTTTTTTCCCTAAATAAAGTACAGTTCAGGAAGCAAAGCCTTTTATAACTAAAAGTAAAGTTATGCTCTTGATTAAAATGTATTATTTTAAAAACCCAACACATTAAAGTTTAGGGCTTTTCATTTTCCAATCTGCTTAATAGATTTTGAATGAAAGAGTATAATGCACATTCAATGTAGGAGCCTGGAATTTTTCTGCAGGTATTTTGCTATTTTGGTTATAATATTTTCCATCTAGAAATGATACTTGGGTGGTCTGGAGGCACAGTGATAGTACAGGAAGGGGGGCAAGGAGCGTGGGGCGGGTGGCAGCGTCTTCATGCTCTGAAAATACAGATGCACTAAATAGCACTGGCAATGGTCATACAGGAGACAACATGCAGCTTAATGACAAGGCAGAAAGATGGCAAATGACATGTTTTTTTTTTTTAAGTAACTAGTTTTTTTCACATTTGGCTACTTATTTGATCTATATTTATTTCTGTAAAGTTAGCTGACTTTCCCCCACCCTTCTCTCTCTTTTCCTTTTATTTTTAACATTAAAGGAATGGTCAGAGAAGGTTTGAAATATTTTCTTCCTCTTCCCTATTTAATTTTTTTGAGTGCACTTAAAAAAATGCACTTCCTAAAGATGAAAGAAAGTCTATTATATTGAAAAACTCACCTATTTAAATGTTCCTACTGGCTTTAATGTGCATTTTATAGTAATATTTATCCGTTCATACAACAGGCTTAAGCATTGGTATTGTCCAGGCTTTAGAGAACTCTCATCATGATTAGTATGCATTGGGTCCTGCTAATTTCTTTTTTTATTCATTACAAAAAGTAATATTTGGTGGTATTTTGTTTTTTGGGGTTTTTTTTTTTCCTCTTGAAATATTTATATGCAGCCTATTTGTGTTTGTTGACATGCATGTTTAAAGCATCTTGTTTTATAATTATTGAAATCTCTTCTCTGTGGCCATGATCAACTAGAAATTGTTTCAACTAAACCAACAGTGTTTTAAGAACCACAGAATCATTTAATTCACTTTGAAAATGTTTTGATTACTGAGCTGAGGTCGATATACTTCCTTATTCATTGCTAACAATGCAGCCTTTCTTTCCATATCTGCTGCTTTGCACTCTGCATGTCCCCCCCGCCTCCTTTCCAAGCCCCATGCCAAGGGGGCCTCCTCGATCTCAGCCTTCCAGTCTAAAAATGTAACTTTGAAGAGTCATGGGTGTATGGGAGGGGAATCACTTCCTAAATCCAGAAAGGTCATTTAAAATAAAGATTAATGCAAATAGTGGACTGGAGATAAGAGAAACACTCGTTCCATATGTTTCCATCGTCCTTGCTTATTTAGCAAAAGTTAACACAGGCTATCTGCAACACTATGGAGAGCCCATTACTCCCTGGATAACAGTATTTCCTTCCTTAATTTCTAGATCAGAAGTAAAAAAAAAAAAAAAAAAAAAAAAAAAAAAAAAAAAAAAAAAAAGTAGTAGCTTTGAAAGTAAGCATTAGAGAGAAAAAAAAATTGCAACCTATCATATTCCCCTTGAAAGCAAAACTGAGTGAGTTTCTTAACAAAATTTGGAAACATTTTTCTACTGTTTAAGCAAAATCTAAGTCATGAAACTTTTCAGATTTGTGATGCCTAAGACAGCAATCATACGTAAAGATTGAGAAATATTAATGCCAGTTTTGACTCTAGTTCCATTCCTTTAATTTCTTCCTATTGCTTCAGATTTTTTACCTTAATAACCACATTTATATGTGTGTTGTAACTCCACTTTAAATCACAATGAGAATAAAAATTCCATCAACTCATACTAAAATGGATTAAACTCCACTAAGTTAATCCTAAAAATAATCTTCTGAAAAAAAAAAAAAAAGGAAGAGAGGCTGAATAACTTACAAGTGTATATATATATATTAAAAAAGAGTTTTTTGATTAAATTAAAAGTTTTGCTGGGAGGCAGAGGGAAATGACAGTGCTAGTCCTTGCTTTGTAAGCTTTAAGGCAGCCAGTCCAGGCACCATCACACCAACACTATTTGACCAGCTCTTCCCAAAAGCTCCTGTATTGATTATTGAAGGAGCAATGGAAAAGGTCAGCATAATATACAGATTTTTTAAATTAAGAAATTATAGCATAAAGGCTGTCTAAAATACAGCGCACCTTCTGCAAAATCGGCTGGTTGTAATATTAATGGCTGCATATTTATGCTAATTCTTTTTGCAGTACAGCTATTGCAAGCCTTCCTGGCAATAATGAGCACCATATAGGTGGGATTTTTTTCCGGTTGCAGTAGTTTGCTACTACTGTTAACTTTAGGGGAGCTGACTCTAGAGTTCGGCTGGTATCAAATTGCAGCCCAGACTTTTTGTATTATTTTGTCCGTGGGGATTTCATTCAGCCTGAGGGTTTTTTCCCCCTACCAGGACAGCTGGAAATTCACCAAAGCAAACTTCTGCATTGGTTTACAAATTCCATTTTTATCAGTGGGATTCAGGACAAAGTAACTTATCATTTTGAATGGTAGAAGAATTATCAGCGATTCAAAGTACACATGAGAGCGGCAGCAATCATTCGGTCCTGATCATTCCCATCCAATATCCAGCCAGGTATCGGGTTGGAAAGCTCTTTCTTCCCTTTTATTTATTAAGTGATTTTTTTTTTTCATCACATCCTGAACTTTAAAAGGTAATTTCTCCTGACAATCAAAGATTTTGTATTCTACATGGCAGAAGCCTAACATGGAGTAGTTAGTTTTTCTATAGTTTCCCTCCCAGTTTTCATTAGCACATCTAGCATAAGTTACTTGCAAAGAAGTTTCAACTGCATATAAAAAAACTAAATACAATTTTACCAGAGGTGATAGAATATATTTTACAATAATATAAACTATTATTCATGCATTCTTTTCTAGTATTTTATTACTTTAAGCAAAAATAATTTTTTAAAAAATTGATCTTCAGATCACAGATCACAACAGGAGCTATTCAGAATACATATTTCTAGCGAGCCTAAGAAAAAAATTTATATACTTCTTAAATATTTATACTAACAGCTTCAAGTATAAAAAAATTAAATTTACCTTTTTAATTTGTTGGGAATAAAGCTTTATTTTAAATTAAAAAAAATTAGTAAAAAAGAAATGACCGACTTTAGCTTTACTGTTGTACACTTCTCTAGGCAGTGTACCTCTAGGCAATATACCTCTCTCATTTCTTGCATGGCTTTTAGTGCACCATCAGAGCTCCATCTTTCTTGCAGTGATGACTGGAGGAAGGGGGGAGGGGAGTCACCTAGGTTCGCCAGGTCATAGGCCAGGTGTTCTTCCAAAGCAGGCCTTACCAGAATGTCTTCCCCGCTTTATTCTGCAGTCCTCCTTTTTCACAGTGTCCCTTAGCGTTTCTTATTCCCTAGTGTGCAAAACCTGTGAAGAAAAATACTGGATATGAGATCTGAAAGGAGCAATGAGTGTCTTCTCCTTGGCAAGAGCAACTTGCGTCCCCAATAGTCCACGCCGCCGCTTTCCCTTGCCCAGTCTAACCAATGTGCAGACTACTGTACAACAGCATTGTCCTGAACAGGTAGTCTGAACACTGGGGCGACGGAGCAGGATCTCCGGACGCGTCTATTTATTTATTTTAAATCCTCTTTTAGTCTCGGGGAAAAACTGCCTTCCTGCATCACGGGTTGTGCTCGGCTCTCGCTCACACTCTGCAGCACTCACTGAAACACACTGAAGTGCTGTGATTTCCAGTCTTGACGTGGCACATTTGCAGCAGACTGGGGATCTGGCAATGAATTTAGGACCAGGAAAAGGGGGAGGGCTGGGCCTGAGAGTCCATATATGGGATGATGTCACCCTGGGGAGGTTTGGGTATGCACTGTGCCGCTGGTGAGACCGCTAGAATTGCCTGCTCTCAGACATGGGTCTGTGTATAAAATGGTACCAGATGTTTTAGTGTAATGTTAAGCAGTCATTTCATCTTCAGGCCAGATTTTTTTCTTCAACTGGGCAGGAAGTGGGCCCCAGTATGGAAAAGCTGTAAAAAGTCAAGATGTACAGTTTCACTGCAGCCAACAGAGAGCGAGTTAATGTAGATGCAGAATTTGCTCTTTTGTGAAGACTGAAAAACAGAATTTATAAAAAGGATTCTGCTCAGGAAGCTAGTGTAATAAGCCAGTGCTTATTTTCTTTCTTTTTAATGACTCTAGTTGTGCTTTTCTATTTTGGCATTTCAGACCAAGAAAAGGGCAAATAGGTTCATTTTTTCTTGGAACTGTCAGCGGCATGCAGGCTGCCGAGACTTGAACAGTAATTAGAGTTACTTCCTGAAAGTGAAGCCCCCATGAAAAGTCTGGAGAAATGTTCTTTGTCATAGCCTCTACATGAGTAATTAGTTCCACATGTGGCCTTCCTATTTCCCTTCAGCTATTTTGGCTGGCTGGTTGAATACTTCGCTATAGCTCAAGACTTAAAGAAGCTTTAAAGTTTTCATTTCAAGCATCCACTGTGAAAATAGCTATTTCTGGTGTCATAATAAATTGCTTCTGGTAGATCAGTGCTATTAGGCCTGGCATTGTTTTTCACTGGTAACCCTGCTGGTCCCATTTTTCTTTTAATGGTGCTTGGTGGAATTATTCTGCTGAATTTTATCTTTGATGTTTACCAGATCTATTGAATTTTGCCAACTATGACTTTACCGTAGATTTTAAGATATTCTCCCTGCAGGCAACCAGCCTTGTTCTCCGGTAAATTTTTTTCTTTGTTACTCATTCTCTTGATTCGACGTGTTGTACTTAGATTTGTTTTGTTGTGTGGGTTTTTTACTTTTTAAAATCTGCCTTAGCCCACGGTCTAACACAACAGCTGACAGAGCAAGTTAGCTCTTCTCAGGTCAAACCTGGAGGTGATTGTGTCTGGGTCTGGATATGCAGATTGTGTCTGGGTGTGCATGGATGCAGTTGGTGCCTGCAGTTCTTTTTCTGCCTGAAATTCTGACGCAAATATCAGTGTCTTGATAGGTAGATCTCCACCAACTTTCGGGACAGGAATGTATGTAAATCTAAACGTGTGCTGTGAGCTCTGGTGTCCTAAATAACTTCTGCATGATTTGGTTCTTCCTAAGTGCCAGCAGCTCCTGAGAGCCATAGCTCCTAGAGGTGTGTACAGGGCAGGTTGCAGAGCTCTCTCACTTCAGGGAGAATGAATGGAGCAAACTTGGATGCTAGGGAGTTGGAATTGGATTCTCAGTCCAATGAAAAGCAAAAGTGACCTTCAGGCTGCTTTGTGGGGTGGCTAAGCACTGAGAGTCTGTTTCAGAATGTGCACCCTCCAGCTCTCCCATTTGGGTCACAGGGGACTAACGTGTCCAAGCAGTGCTGGGGTTTCTTGTTTAATTAGCAGAGGTAAAGGTTTGGAGAGGTTTAATGTGATGTGTGCTTCACTTTCTTAAAACCAGCAACAAGTGTATCAGAGAGAGTGAACTGGTGGGCAAGGGCTTTTGAAGATAAAAACTGCAGTGAGGGAGAAAGTAGAGCATGGATAAACCAGGAGGGCTCCTTGTCTGTGTATCACTGCATGTGTAGGGACTGGCTTTTTTATAGTATTCCCACTTGGCACTAATTTTGGAAAGACTGAGGAATGATTTTTGTGAGTGGGACCCTCAGTAGAGTAGTCAGATTTTCCCCAGTGAGGAACTGTCAGAGATTAATTACTGCATGTGTCACCAAGAGCAAGAAATTACGTTGTCAAGGAAAGACAGCGTTCCAGAGATCTTCTTTCCATACCAGCAGAAAGGGACGTAGGCTGAATAAAACAGAAGGCAAAACATTAATGAGCCAAGCAGGTTTAGGGCTGAGGGAAGTCAAGTTTGGAATCTTGCTGCCAAGTGTGGCAGCATTAGTCTCTGAGTTTTTCCTGAGATGGTTAAATAGAACCAGAATAGCTCCCCACACTGTGGCCTGGAAATTTGTTCCCTCTAAGTTTTGTTTCCTGGCAAAAGCAGAACTTCAGAGGAATAAAGGAGAACAGGAGGTTTGGGTTGTTCTGGGAGCTCAGGAAGATGCTAAAGCCCTGTTGGGGAGAACCTGTAATACAGTGCAAAGCCATTCAGACCTCTAATGCACTTTTTCTTTCCTTCTTAAGGGCTGCTCAACTGCTTACACACATCTGTCTTAGATATTTTGACCAAATCCCTCCTTTTCCACTTGATTTCTGTTTGGAAAGGAATAGGCCCAAAAAGCCAATTGACATTTCCATTCCTTCTGATACCAAGTTGAGACTAGATTTGAAATATTTGAAATCTTTCACTGAATAGCTCCCCATCTCTACAGCGGGATTTGAACCGCTTCAAATCAGCTTCTGAGGCTGTCCGGTGCTTTCAGCCATCACGGCAGCAGCATGGCAGGCTCCACTCAGTATCAGTAATAAACTCTTACCCATAGTTTATACTAAGTGCCTTCCAAAGGTAGTGATAAACTTTAATTTTTCATGAGCTTATCATCATACTGATGTTCTGCTGTGCCTATGAACTCAGCCCCATGATTAAATTATTTTCTACAAGCTGACAATATTCTTTGATTTTCAACTTGGAGGAAATGAAGGATTTTGGGAAGTCCAGCTTCTTCATTAATGCTTATTTGGAGGACCACTATGAAAAAGAAAATAGCTGTATATCTGCTGGATTGTTTTCTTCTCCAGACACTGCAGACCACTGCAGAGAGAAGTGTAGTGCCAGGCCATTCTAAACACTGAATAGGATGGACATCTTAGAAATGGTCATGAAGTGTGTGTGTAGTACAGGAGCTGTGTGCTTCTTGTTTGTAAAACATCCCAGACTGCATTTACTTGGTGAAGTGGCTGAACTGCCATTAGTGTGCATTTTTTGCACTAAAAAGTTACCATAGAAAGTGTCTGGGGAATTGTAAATTTTGTATCTCTGCTTTGTAAAAGCACTAGATATGATCCAGGGAACTCCAGAAGAGTAAGTGAGTGTCTGCAGCTGATAAATGAGTTGAAATAATAGCAGGTAATTGTACATAGCTATTTTTGAAATTTTCAAGGAGAAAATTGTCTGCCACGATTTGCTGTAGCTTTTTTTGCACATAGCAAAGGTTTTGCACAGCAGCAAAGGTTAACCCTTTCTGGAGCTGAATAAACTAAATAATGATTTTATAGGATTAAAAATAGCTAGGCATATGATACAGGCAACAGTATGAGCAGGCTGTCATTGCCATTGGAGCACAAAACCCCTGCCAAACTACCTCCAGGGTCTATTAAATGCCAGTGAGAGTGAACAAATGCAAACAGTCTCAGTTGTATTCACTTTCATGCAGAATGCTTGGGGTATAGATGAAAGGAGGAGATGGGGATGACGGAGAGGAGGAGATGGGACAGAAGAAGTGAGGGTGGAGGAAGCAGCAGCACATGAGGTGAGAGTAACTGATTCTTGTTTCTGTGGAGTTTGTGACCCTTCTGTTAATGAATATCACTTATGGTTGGGCAAGGCCTAATGCAGTCCTGCAAGCCTGTTGTTTCTTGGTCTTCCACTGCGATCAGACTCATTTTTTTAATTTTAAATTTACAAAAAAGAAAATTTGTCCCTAAGCAATATTGTTCCTTCTGGCCAATGCATGTAGGCATGATTTGTGCTTTTAAGTAGCTGTGCCCATTGTTATGAGAACATGCTATTGAAGTGTGGTGCTCATTTTCAGCTTGTCCCATCATCCTCATATGTTGTTTTTAGCATTATTTGTGGTGTCTGGAAAGACTGTGAGGCTGGCAGGAGTTTAGCAGTGCTAACTGAAGCCCCCTTTGGTTGGGACCCCTCTGTGAAGGTTATAGGACTGCTCAGAGCCACGTCTATGTGCTGCACAGTTTTCCAGGCAGTCTGGTCTCAGTATTGCAGTGATTTGATCTTTTATAAATTAGTTTAGTACAGCTCTGGACAATGTTCCAGCCTAATGTCCCTCTGTTGTGTTGTTCCTGTGACACATAATGGACTGGTGACTTGTCCCCCTGTCATCTCCCTTCTTATCAGACGTGTAGTTTGGATGGTTTAGGATATTTACTCTTTCATCTTCTCTCTGCACAATTCCACATTTCTGCTCTACATGCTTTGTCTGCAACTTTTTTCAGGTTTATGGGAGAGACACAAATGGGGAGAAGGCAGAGCTGGAAGGGCTCAGTCCAGCTATTTTGGATATCTGAGATGAAATTCATAACCACATTCAGGAGCCCATGTTTCCTTTACCTTTGGTGTATTCAGAGGACAATTCAGCACCTCTGACGTGGACACCTATAGAGAGCCACTGCTGATTTCTGTCCTCCTAGCTGTGAGGAGCCCAACAGCAGGTTCAATATTGATGCCACTTCTTGTTGCCCTTTCAGCAGTTGGGTTATATTCACCCTGGTTGTAATATGTGCATCACTTTCTGGTCTGTATTGTTCAGTATTTTTTCTGCCTTTCTAGCCATGGTCAAAATATATCAATGAATAATCTGAAACACTGGAAAAGACCCAGTGTAGTACAGAGCAGGTATTTTCATGTACAGCTGACTTTGTGCTCACTGTGCATTTTTCAGCTTAAATTGTGGGAATGCACTCATGCTCATATTATATCTA